CATTGATTCATATATTATTGTTTTCTCTGGCTTTCCTCTGTTGTTCTGTCACTCTCTGTTTACATGATGTGTTATTTTTGCCCATGAGAACTCTGTTCTAGGAACCATAGAACAAAGCCCCCTCAGGATGCTGCCTGATTTATCGGGAAGGGAGGGAACACACCCCAGGCTGCCAAGCTCTTCCTGCAGCTTCCTTCCCCATTTAGCACTGAGGAGGAGAGCCAGCAGAACTGAGGCCACAGACAGGAGAGGAGCTGTGCCCTCCCACGCACCTCCCTCCTTTCCCCAAACCCAGCCCTGCTCCTATCGGGGAGGCCCCTTTGCCTCCTGGAAGACGTATTGGCACATGGCTGTTGTCCTTTCACCTTGGGCGGCTTCTCAGCCAGTCAGACCCACCTCACCTTCACCCCCAGGAATCACAGGAGGAGAGTCACCTGCACCAGGAAGTTGGCACTTCCCCATGGGTTTTCCCGGGCTGACCAGTTGCCTGTTTCATACTAGGTTTGGCTCCAAGCCTGGGGCCTGGCCCAACCACAGGCGGTTTCTGTTCTCTATTGCTGTTACCTTGAGCAGCACACCTATGTGTTTACTTACTGCCTATTGGTCCCTTCCAGATACTTCCTTGCCTGCCCTCAAACTTACTTGGTTTACCTACCCACCTACCATCTACTTATATCTATGTATCAATTCATCAGTCTTTCTGCTTATCCAGTTGCCTATATATTTATGTATCAACTTACCTGCCTTTCTACCAACTAATCCATTTGTATATTACCTACTAATAGGCTTATGTTCTCACACACACCCCTACCTTCCTAACTTGGACACATACAGTTTTATTGTCTCCATTCACTTACCTCTCTATTTACCGATATATTTTCCTTCCTTTCTCACCTCCTTCCTTCCCTTCTCCTTAAACATTTATTTGGCACTGTTACTGGCGAGATGACGAGACCTTGGTTCTTATCTTCTTGAAGAAAAGACTTCTGTCAAGAGACAAAATGCAGCAAAGCAAGCAAGAATTTGTTGGCCGCAGCAAAAACACAATCAGGATAGTGAAACAAGGAAGGGCCTAGAAGGAGCAATAGGGGAGCCCAGGTGGGGCTGCTTTGGCTCACTGGGGAGTCAGAGAAAAGGGCGCCTTGGAGATGGGTTCAGGGGGTTAACCCAGGACAAGCTGCTGCTGCCCATTGCTCCCCTGGTTGCAAGTCTTATGGGGGTCCCTTAGAGTTTAGGAAATGCATGCCTGTGGGGGAAGAAGAGGTCTCTTTGTCATGCTAGATCCTGACTTAAGACGGGGAGACATTCAGATGCCCAGGGCAAGGCTGGCATTAGTAGCACTGAGAGGGCCCCTCAGGAAGGAATGGAGCCCTGGGCTTGAGAGAATGGCCATCACCTCTCAGGGAGTTTTGAAGAGGAACATCAGCAGGAATGTGGGATGCTTTAATAGGGAGAAAGCTGGGGCTTGGCTTAACGTGTCCACTCCAAACCTTGCCCTATCCATTCAGCCCAGGAGGCTTGTCTTCTAACTCTGTGCCAGCCTGTCCACTCTCTTCATCTCTCCACCCCCATGGCCTCTTTTGGAATTCAGATCCCCATCAGCTCCTGGCTGGGCAGCACTTGCCTCCTGCCTGGTCTCTCTAACCCAGGCCCTCCTGTACTGATCTACAGCCTCTGCCATCAGCCAAACACACAGGCTAGCACATGTCACTGCCCAGTTCAGAGACCTTCTGGGTTGACTCAGGCATGACCAGATTCTGGTGTTTGGGGGTGTGAGTCTGGAAGGACCAGGGAAGATGTAGGGAGTCCCTGTGGCAGGCTGCTGCTGTTACCCAAGTGAGAGATGATGGCATCCAGGCAGGTGCACTCCCAGGCCTGGCTGACTCTCACTGCAAGTTCTGCCCTGCCATGAAGCTGATTCAGAACAGCTTTGGCCATGGCCATTGGAGCTGGCTGCCTCTGAGGACAGGAAGTGACTCCCATAGGTGGCCTCAAGACAGTTAATGGCCAGGGATACCTCTCTCAGCACCAGGTCATGGGACAGTGAGACCTTTGGGGATTTCTAATATTTGTCCCTTCGGTTTTGTCAGCCTATAAAGCAGGACTCTGTTTCAAATTGACTCTTAGCATTTCTTATTTGTCTGCCTACTTCCCTCCCTGGGACTTCTGCAAGCAGCGGCTGTTTCAAAATGACCACCATAGAAAGATAGACATCGTTTTCCTCATTTCATACTTGGGGAATCTGAAGCCATACAGGGCAAGTAAGGGGTTCAGGTGTTACCGGCCAGAAAACGAGACCTCGGTTTCCTTCTTGAAGGAAAGACTTTGGTCAAGAGATAAAGTACAGCAAAGCAAGCAAAAATATATTGGCCGCAGTAAAAAGACACTCAGGACAGTGAAACAAGGAAGGGCCTAGAAGAAGCAGCAGGAGGGCCCAGGCCGGGCTGCTTTGGCTCACTGGGAAGTCAGAGAAAAGGGGGCCTCGGAGACAGGTTCAGGGAGTTAACCTGGGGTGAGCTGCTGCTGCCCATTGCTCCCCTGGTCGCAAGTCTCCTGGGGTCCCTTAGAGGTTAGGAGATGTGTGCCTGTGGGGGAAGGAGAGGGAGAAGGGAATGGCACACGGGGTGTGCTCCTTAGAGGGAGAGAGTGCAGTGCTGGGTCCTTCATCCTGAGGGTATTTATCTCTCTCTTGTAGGTGGGAATCTTAGGGGAGGTCTCACAGAAGGGTCTCAATAGAATATTCATCAGCTCTCCAGGTGTGTTCTTTCAGGGTCCTGGTCCCCACTGATTGGCCGACACCAGGGCAGGGGGTCATTAGTCAATGCAGCCGATCCTAAGGCAGCCACAGCACCATTTGTCTGATTTTGCTGCTTTTCTGGGCCTGGAGCTGAAACACAACTGAGGCCTAGATGTTATCATTAGGGAGGAACCACTCAGGGGTCTAAATCTTATGCTAGGGGAGGAAGGTTACCCTGGGGGTGAGGTTCTTGTTTTCCCGGTTGTCTGTTGCTAGGCATCTAGGGCTTTCTGCCCTGGTCACCTTCTGTACCTGGCCCATCATCCTTGCTCTGCTCATGTCTGTCCAACTGCCTCTTAAACGGGGTCATATACCTGCTAGTGACAGATCATCACCCTCCCGACCCAGTGCTCTTTCAGTAAAAATACAGGAGATATTTAAGTGATTGTTTCCCAAACTTCTTTCATTTCAGTACCACCCTCATGATGTCTACCTATCACCTATACTATTATTTACTTGACAGTTTCTTTCAAACCACTCACATTTTTTATTCAACTTTATTTCCTAAGGAAAGTTTGTGTCCATCTTCAATGAAAAAGAATGCCACACATAGAAAGTAACTATGAAATAGGAAAGCAGGGTAATGCCATTCGATTCTAGCCAAATATTTTTGTCTACCAAAGGCTAGAGGCCGGGGACTGATCTCGGTGAAATGGGGACATCATACATTAGAAGAGGTGTTGAAGACATAACCCCAAACTGAGACTTTCTCCTTGATGCCATCAGGAGCATGAACAGTCACTTGAAAGGGCACTAACTTTCTCCCTGTGTGAGTCAGCGTTATTTGGCACCACACCTGCGTGTCGCTCCAAACCGTCAGGTGTATATCCCATATTTTGGATAGCAGCCTTTTATGTATAATTTATGTTTCAGTCCAATGTCTTAGAATAAAAACGACGGGTTAAGCACTCATGATGCACAGGTAAATTCAGGGCAATTTGGTGTGGGGTGGTGGTGGAGGGGAACGGAGTCTAGGAAGCCTTCTGGAACCCAGCAGGAACTCTCAGCCTGTCTGAGACATTTGGGGGGCACTAATCCTGGCCCCATCCTGCAGAGGATGGCACCACTGTGGTCTCCATCATTTCGGAGTGTTAGTGTGTTGAAGGTCCCCCCAACAGAAAACTTTATAACCTTCTTCAGTCACCCCATTTTGTCCACAAGAAGGAACTGAAATCAACATCCGAGGTTTGGGGAGGGTGTAAGGGAGTGTGGACAAATTAAGGTTGTGTCTAGACCAGAGAGCTCTGAGAGCTTGGAGTCACCTTGTGGGGGGAGAGTTTTCTCCCGGTCCCTTACTTTCTGCCTTTGCATGATCATGGCTTAGTCTTGGCGGGCTTCTCCTAACCTGACCAGTGCAGGGAAACGGGCTAGAGATGAGGCTGCCTGCTCCTGAGCTGAGCACCCAAAAGCATCACCCGGCAGGCTGAGGGTGCCACGAGGGACCGTTGGACTCACTGCATTTCCCACACCATGCGTTGCCTGGCTCCACGCCCTGCGGGGTCCTACCTGCCAGAGCCCCAAGGTAAAAAAAAGCGGGTGGAGGAAGTTGGGGCTGAGAATGTGTATTAATTTAGGGTGAGGTCTCAACGGGTCTTGCCATCCCAAATAAACTGACTCTGAACTGGGGGGTGGCTAAGAGAGGGTGTCCCTGTCCTGCTGTGGCTGTTAGAAGTGAGGTGGTTGGCCATTCCCTTCCACTTGAGGGACATTCAGGTCAGTCCAGATGCCTGGAATGTGAGAGTTTTATCAGCCCTTGAAGGGTTCTAGAGGGTCCACTTTCAGAAGGTGTGTCCTTAGCTCTCAGCATTGATGGCCTGGCTCGGCCAACTATAAGACCTTCTATCTGCCAGGTAAAGACTGAGGGGTGCCCTTGAAGGACAGGACCCCTGTCAGACCCCACCCCATCCTCGAGGAAGCAGAGAAACCAAAGCCAGAGTCAGCCCCTTGGTATAGTTGTTGAGCCGCAGCCAGCTGGCATTAGCCCCAGTCACCTGGACAGACACTACCCCAGTTCCCAATGGTGTTTTGGGGGAGAAGTGGGGGACAGGGGACAGATAGCGAGAGATAGCATAGAACAGATGACTGGCACCAGCTCTGAAGTCAGAGCCTCAGGTTTGAATCCCAGCTGCACTGTGGGCTGGGTGCAGTGGGACACTGAACTTGTCGCCAACCTGAGGCTGTTTTCCCTGGGCTGTAAAATGGGAGAAGGGGGAGTGTCTTATGACAGGATAATGGTGAGGGATTAAAGGGTCTAGCACAGTGCCTGGCACATTGTAGGAACTCACTGTCATCATAGGAGCCCAATATTATTGGTGTTGCCATTGTGTGGTGGGGAGGGGTGGGACTCCTTTTCTCAGACATCACTGAAATGTGTGGCTCTCTCTGAACCGCAGATTCTGACAAGTTTGCCAGTTCTGTTGGATGCAGCCAGAGCTTGTTGGCTTGTTGGGGAGTTTGCTGTTGTTGTTTTTTAATTTTTATGTATTGATTTGTGTGCGTGAGAGAGAGAGATGTTGTTCCACATATTTGCTCATTCATTGGTTGACTCTTCTATGTGCCCTGACCAGGGATCGAACCCGCAACCTTGGCATATCAGGTTGACCCTCTAACCAACTGAGCGGCCAGCCAGGGCTGTGGGGGGAGTTTTTGAGGGAGGGAGAGAGGTCACTTTGACCTACCCCCTCAATTCCAGATGAGAAAATCCAAGCCTGGGAAGGGAAGTGACCTCCCAAATTCTCATGGTGGGCGGGGCAGGGGCCCGGGACTCTGGAGGAAGAAGGCAGGAGTAATGCCGCAGGGGGCGTGCTGTTGGAAACTCCAGATTGCTGGGCTGAGCCTCCAGCCAGTGCAGGTCCCTGAGGAAATTCCTGTTCCCCCAAGCACATCCAGCTTCCCAGAAGGAAGTAGCTCAGGGAGCAGCCTCTGGGTTCACATGCCCTGCAGGGATGGTCTGCCACCTTCACCTGTGATGCTGAGTTAGAGAGGAATCAAGGGCCACCCAAGGGGGGGGGGCCCGATGAGCTCCCTGCAAGCCAGGGCTTGCAGATCACATACCCGTGGGCAGGCTGTTTCCCCTGCAGCAGGGGACTGGCCATTTCAAAGAAATGGATGCCCTGGAAGCACCAAGGAGTGTAGGGGTGCCACCAAGGTGCTTCTGAGAAACCACGTGGTAGACGCAGCTAGAGAGGCTTGGATGCCTGTTTACTCCCCAGTTTGGCCAAAGCTCCACCACACAAAGAAAGTGAAAGAGAAAAAGGGCTACAGCAGTGGGGAGGCGGGGTGGCTGGGTGACCGTTCATTCCTGGCGCGCAGTAGCCCGGGAGCTGCCTGGAGAGAGAAGCCGCCAAACACCCGCCGGGAGTCCCGGGAACAGCGGTAGGTGACCAAGGTCCCCTCTGCAGCCCCTAAAGTTGGGCTGGGAAGTGAGACTCAGAGCAGGGCAGCGACTTTCCCAAGGTCATACAACAAGGCTGGGAGTAGGGAAAGAAACGTGCAGAATGTAGAGCTGGGAAACTGGTTTCCAGCATCTGTTGAAGGACCGGGAAAGCTCTGGGCTGCAGTGCCCAGCACGCCGGCGGCCAAGGAGGGGCAGCGGAAAAGAAAGTGGGGTGGGAGCCGGGAGTGTCAGCAGGGGGCCTGAGACTCAAAGGGAGAGTGCAGAGCGCAGACAGGTGGCAGGGCCAAGCCTGGGCGGGCAGACAATGCGCATCCTAGAGTCCGTAGAGGCGCGCAGGAGAGTGTGCAGGGAGGCAAGCTCTTCCTCTGCCAAGGACATTGGGCCAGGGCTGCCTTTCTCTGAGCCTCAGTTTCCCTGTTGGACCACATTCCTGCTTGGACTCTGGAGCCTGGATATGTGGCCCTCTGGTGGGGTACGCAGCCTTCCTGGTAGGACCCCCTGTTCAGGGAGGGCTACAGGAGTCGGGACTTTAGCTGGCAGGCTGGAGAAATTCCCACCTCTCTTTGACCATATTGGGAGGCAGGGTCTTTTCCGAATACCTTTGATGGTTGGTATCTACACCTAACTTTGGGGTCCTGAGCCACTCCATCTAAAGAGAGAAAGTAAGAGACCCCCGGAAAGGGGGCATGGGGCTCTCTAGGGCCCCAGAATGCTGGAATGGGAGTCACCATGTCTAGCTCTGTCTAGGACCCTTAATACTGAAGTTCTCAATGAGCCCCACAGCCTCTCTCTCCACTTGATGCAGGGAAGGGGACAGGAGCCCAGAGGCCACAGCGCCCCGTGCCCAGTCGCAGCCAGGAGTTCCTTACTTTGGCAGGAAGTCTCCCATCTGTGTACCACCCCGTCCCCCAACAAAAGAAATACCTCTGGGCAATCAGAAGGTTAAGAAAATTGGTGCCTCTTGTTCTAGGGGCGGGTGGAGCTGAAGGAGGAGGGGAGGAGACCCCAGCAAATCATCATCTTCCAAGCCCCAAGGCTGGACCTGGTCTCCAAGGTGCCAGGATGTGGAGTGGAAGGGTCCTCAGAGATAACTGAGCGAGCGAGTCCCAGGCTTCCCACACACGGGGACCCCTGGGGAGGCTGTCTAGCATGCAGGTTCCAAGGCCCTGCCCCTAACCCCCATTGGCTAGGCTGGGGTGGGGTTCCACATGGCAGGTTAAACCATTTATCCCAGGTGATTCTCATGTAAGGGGCCCAGTGGTCATACACACATTGAGAGGCATAGATGTGGCCCAAACCCTGTACGCTCTCCATGTTACAAGAACTCTGGGGACTTCCCTGGGAGGTTTCGTCAAATAGCCCAGTAGCTGGCAGAGTTAGGATTTGACCTGAGGTCTCAGGAGCAGAGGGAGGTTTTCCAAAGACTTCGACACATACGTGGTGAGTGTCAAAGGACAGTTCTCAAAGAGGCGTTAATTGACACTGGTTCTCCTAGGGGGGAAACTGGTCCTTTTCTGATTCTTTGTCACCCTTTGTCTCTGTTTTTGTGTGTAGTGGTCTTTAATGCCCTCTAAATACTGCATTGTGCCGGCTAAGGTTTCTTTCTAACTGGTTGGACAGCTAACATTGTTTTGATAACATTGTTTTGTTTTCATTGGCTAGTGCTACCGGTGAGTTTTTTCCATGTGAAGTAGTCATAGAAAGTTTTCTTTTTCTAAAGTAATAACAAACTTGACCAATGTAACCATTTTAAATGTGCAATTTAGCGGCATTGAGTACATTCACAAAGCTGTACAACCATCACTACCATCTATCTCCAGAACTTTTTCACCTTCCCCAACTTGAAGTCTGTCTCCATTAAACAAAAACTCCTTTTTCTCCCCTCTGGCTTCCCACCCAGTCCCTGGCAACCACCATTCAACTTTCTGTTTCTAAGAATTTGACTACTCTAGGTGCCTCATGTAAGTGGAATCGTGTATTTGTCCTTTTGTGACTGGCTTCTTTCCCTCAGCATAACATCTTCAAGGTTCACCCGTGTTGTAGCATGGGTCAGAACCTCATTCCTTGTTATGGCTGAGAAATATCCCAATGTATGGATAGGCCACATTTTGCTTATCCGTTTACCTGTCGATGGATATTTGAATTGTTTCCACCTTTTTTCTATTGTGAATAGCGCTTTTATGAACATTCATGTATATGTCTGAGTCCTTGCATCGAATTCTAGAAAGTTTTCTTTAAAAATGAATATATGTTTCTTTAAAAATTAATTTAAGGAAAATACTAAGGTAAACTATAGAATAGGTGGTAGGAAGACATGACAAAAAACTGTAAAGGAGACAGGTGATTGGCTGAAGTTTGGGGGACTCTGGATTAGTGGGGAGACCTTGCAGCGATTGTAACAATCTAGACTGTGGGACTGGGGGCTACTAGATCCAGGGCATAGCAGTTGAAGGACTTTTGAAAGGAAAATATAAGAATTGAGGAAGTGTCCAACGGTGGCAGAAATGGAGGGTCCGGAAGGTTCCCTCGCGGGAAGGAGAATTGTAGCCTTCCTGGTGTTCAGGAAAGGCCATGCAGGGTGAGAGTCCGTGTCTTCTTGGAGAATGGAAACTCAGGCTTCCTTGGGAATAAAACCTCTCTTAGTCCTCAGGCTTGCTAGTATGTGTGTGTCAAGAGGGAGACACAAAGGGGATGCTCAGATTCCTGGGCCCTGCCCCAGACCTATTGAATCAGAACTTAGTGGGGCCGAGGCCCAGGCTGCTATGTGGTTAGCATCCTTTCAGACAGTTTTCATTCATAGCCGAGCCTGCCAGCTGCTGGCCTCTGTGGCCAGATCTGGGCAGGCAGGGGCCGCCTGTGATTCATCTCAGAGTCCCCAGCTCCCAGAAGAGGGCCTAGCGCTGGCTTAGGTGCCACATTAGGTTGAGTGAAGGGTCAGGACTGGAGTTGGGGGCCTGGCTTGCTAATGCAGGCACAGCATCTTCATTCCGCCCCCATCCCCAGCATCTGGCTCAGGCTCTCTACCTGAAAAAACTTGCTGCGCCTTTTCCAGGTCACTGACTATAGCTAGAAATGTTGGGACATGCAGAAGGAAGGCCACTGGAGTGTGGGAGAACCAGGAGAGC